ACCATAAGTGATGACGATGCTGTCAACAGAACCTTTACTGTCAGTACACATACACATACTCTGTACTCTGTGTACTCTGTCAGTGTACCTCTCAGTACACAGGTATTGAACCAGGCTGACTACTTCTAACATATACCACAAACAGTAAATACATCACAGTATTTCTGTGTATTTACTGTATATATAGTGTATGTATTAGTGAAAACTTCACTTCCAGACACTGAGACGAAGGTGAAGGTTTGAAAATGTCTCTGTGAGCCACGGGTTGAACCACGTCAAAAGACTGAGGGAAAATGAAGAACAATGCAGTAGGATGTGGACTGAGGAAGTGGACCAGGACCAGCGGTCGTGCACACACACACACACACACACACACGCAGTAGTTTGAAGTAGAATGTGGAAGTGTGTTACTACTCAACCTAAACCTAGTTAGTGACAGCTCGACTTCACCTTAACTTCCCAGCAGACACTTTATTCCCATTGGATTTATTCCCTTTGGATTTCAAAGGTGAGAAATTCATCAACATTAAAGACTTTGTCACAAACTGACAACGAAACTGTTCCACCCCGAACCACCGTCACCGGAAACACACCGCGATATTCTGTTGTCAACTTACAACACTGTTTTCATAAATTAACGACTAACTTCTTGTAGCCTCACATCTTTATCCAGTTCCTTTATTTTCTTCTCCTTTCTTGTACATGTCAGTCTGTTTTCTTGTTGACTTGTTGACTTTCTCTCTGAAACTCTCTGTTCTCTTCCTCTCTTCACTATTTTCCTTTAAATATTTTCATAAATTCGACTCCATTTTCGTCAATTTCCTGTATTTCCCTCGTTCTTTCTCCAGAGCTGGTCGTGACGGTACGGTTTAAAACCACAAGTAAACAGAACCCTCAGAACTTTCCTCAACTTCACGCAGGACAACGGCGGACGTTCACGTGACGTGTGAACAACAAACCCCAAAAGCTGAGTCCACATCCTCAGAACACTGGAGGTTCTACGACAGTACGGAGACAACTTTGTCCGTGTTCTTACCCTCAGAGCGGCCAGGTCGATGGTGTCCAGGCTGCGGGTGGTGTTCTCTCTCCACATGGCTGTAGTCTCTCTGGGTCACAGCCTGTGGTTCTGTGTGGACCGGACATGGACCCGGAGGTTCAGCTGCGAACTAACGGCGGCGGCTGCTGCTGCTGCTGCTCTCCATTCTCTCATCCTCAGGCAGCGTCAAGTTAGGTGGAGCTACACGCACACACACACACACACTTACACAGCTCTTCCGTCAAGACCTTTCACAATAAACGTCTGACTCTGTTCGTCGTGATGTTTTTATTCTTTTCACAGAAAACGTTTCCCTCTAAAACACTTTTATAAATGTTCCGTATGAAGTTAATCAATAACTAATAACATTAACTTTCACTGGTTCTCAAACTAGGGTGTGTTTACAACAGGTGGTACTTGGACTTCCGCTAGTGGTGGACACACTGGTAGAACAGAAGAAGTGCAGGGTTTAAACCTCGACTTCAGATCTATGATTGGCTCCTGTTCCCCACGTGACCCTGGACGGGACAGAACAGTGAATGATGGAAAAGTGAGGGTCGATTAGTGTGAAATACAGAAAATAAAACACAGAAACACAGAAAATAAAACACAGAAATCCTGTTTATTTATCGTTACGTCATATATATTTAATAGGAACTGATGAACAGACAGAAATGTGAAATGTAGTGAGTTTAACTGGAGTGTGTGTGTGTGTGTGTGTGTGTGTCTGCAGTGAAGAATGCTCTCTCTGTGGTTGTACACAGTGGCTCTGTTTACACCGGGGTCAGCTGCCTGTGCACATGCGCAAGCAAACACACACACACACACACACACACACATGTGTAGGAAAAAAAGATTTATTTTTTGTGCATGTGTTTGTGTGTTTACTGACAGAGACATAAAAAGACTTCTGTG